ATATGTTTCGAAGACTAGACTTTCCGGACAACAGTCATGTGTTTAGAGCCAGAGCTTGAGGTCCCAAGGTCCCCTCTCTCCATCGTCAACCAGGAGTAGCGCAGATAGTGCCGGAATCTGTGGCAGATTGCCTCCGCTGAGCTTGGAAGCCTGCTGAAACCCACTAATTGGAACAGAGAGACTCCCTTACGTCCCAGACGTAACTAAAGGCCCTAAATTTCCAAAGGCTCAATTGTGGCGACGCATGAAGCCAAACTGCGCTGACTGCTGGATGACTTGCAGCCTAGGTGCAATCCTTGCATTTGAAGCTGTTCCAGAGGAGGGCGGGCGGTTTGAGAAGCTTGATTGCAGAGCCAAAAAAGCCAGAAACAAGACTGGCAAGGCAACAAAGAGCATTTCCGAAAAAGGTTGCTGATCTTACCAGTTGGTGGACGAGCTGCGCCCACGCGGACTGAGGAAGTTGACGGAGGTGCCGCTATACTCGGCTTTTCCATTTCTTTACTCGGAAGCTTCTGGGAAAGCCGCCGTCGATGGCTTTGGTCAGAGTTCCTTCGCGGAGACGTTTGTGTCATGCATCAAATTGAACCATCATCTCAAACGAACCCAGCTTAGGCTTGGGCCCAGCAGAGGATGGTTTGGCATATTTTCCAACCATGGGGATGCCCGATGGGTCAGGATGCGCCAGAAGCTGGGTAATTATTGGTATTCAAACTGGGGTGAAGGTGATGTTTGATCCGGAGAGTGTTTGCGGGACCTTCACATGAGTTGACTAACTGTATTGGTGAATGAATGGGACACACTAGCAGCGCACACCGACGTGTCAAGCTCCCTGAAGCCTGCCAATTTCGACATAGTGAGGCATTGTGCAGCCTCTAGCTATCCAATACTTCAGAAATCGACAAATATATATATATATATGAATTAGAAAGAGCGCAAGCTGCTGAGCACTCTTTCTCCAGCAGCGAAGCCCTTACAGTTTAGCTCACACGGTGCTTTTTTGAAACGTGTTCAGAGCACCAATCGCTGAAACTTTGCTGCTTTTTCCCACCAATCGCAAGACTAAGCCTTGATGACGACGGCCTGATCTCAAAACCCTCACCCCTTTTGCTGCGAGTAACAAGAAGCTACTAGGGGCGCCTCCAGCTGAATGATTTGGCATGGCTTTTTGGTGGGCTCCCATTTTTTCTCACCCTCGAACAATGTGTTTTTCACCCTCACCCTCGAAACCTTTTTTTCACCCTCAAGATTTCTTTTTTCCCCACCCTATGGAACCTTTCTTTTCCACCCTTCCAAAACCTTCTATTTTCACCCTGCACCCTGTCATTTTCACCCTGTAGCATGTTTCTTTCACCCTTCACCTTGTTTTTTTAACCCTTCATCCTTTCTTTTTCACCCGCGACCCTTTCTTTTCAACCCTCCGCCGGTGAAGCAGGTAACCCCTGGAACCTGCACAGAAAACGATGTCACCTCCGGTTTGTTTCACACCGCTTGTCTGCACCTGCCAAACCCTTTGTTTTCACCTCAATAACTTCTTGTTACTAACCCTTCGAAACCCTCCGGAAACTGCGCAGAGACTGTCCGGAACGACGGGAAACGCCGGAAACTGACCCGGACGCCTCCGGAACGTGAGGCAGCACAGGATCCATCCATCCATGCATGCATGCATCCATCCATCAACGGAGTGCCAACCAACCGACCAACCAACCAAGCAACAACGTGGCCAAACCAACCAACCAAAGGAAGGAGAGTAAAAAAGAAAGGGTGGGTAGCCCACCAGCAACAAACAAACCAAGCAACCAAACGTTTTCCCCAAATGCTGTCGATACTTGCTTTGCATTGGTAGCCTGCCAAGCAACCAACAAACCCAGCGACCAAAACTACACACGACCTGTTTTCCTCAAAGGCTGTCGATATTTGGTTTGCATTACAACAAGCTAGCCAACCAACCAACACACCAAGCAAAGGAAGGAGGGTGAAAAAGAAAGGGTCGAGGGTCAAAATGAAAGGGTAGAAGGTGAAAAAAGAAGGTTCGAGGCTGAAAAAACATGTTCAGAGGGTGAAAAAGAAAGGTGGAGGGTGGACAAAATTGGCGGGGTGAAAAAGAAAGTTGCCCTTTTTTTGGGCCCCGACAACATCCGGAGCTTCCCTCCGTTGGTTCTCCCACACGTATATAATCTTTGGCACTACGCATCGCATAAGATCCCTTCCCACGAGCCAGATACAAAGGAAGTCGATTGCTTCAAACAACATCAAACCACACTGAGTGAAGGACATTCACGGAATATAGGACCGTTCTTGACCCTCTTCACCCTCCAGCTCTTGACCGTTTCTTCCTTCCAGCTCTTGACTCTTCCAGCTCTAAAAAACTGACACACACATATATATATATATACTGTATAGCCCACTATATCCGAATCAGACTTGGCACTTCGAACTTCAACAAGCACTGGGAACATTTTTAACCCCCACCTTGCGCGAAGCAGAAATTTCAACTTCAGAACCTGAGATTTTTGCTGGCCCGGGTGCATCAACCTCCATTTGCATCTGGACATCGGCACCCCCATCATCCTTCTCACCAACGTTGTCCTCATTTTAATTGTTGCGCAATGTTGCTCGATTTCCTGGAGTTCCTCATCATGCGTTTGCTCCTCAAGACTCAAGCCTCTCCTGAACAAACGATGAAAACCAAAAGACATGCAGCGAATCCCTGGTTTCGGCCAAAATGCTTCAAGACAATTCGACCTTGTGTTTATGTTCAAGCTTCCGGGTCTTTGGTAGTTTCAGACGCGAGCAAATCGATGCGAAGGTCCGTGGCTTGTGGTTTATCTCGAAATCGGTTCCAACATGAAGACCTCCTTTAGCGTTGCTGTGAAGACCTCCCTCAGAGAGCACAGAGCGGATGACAAACAGATCGTTAGCGCTTTCCCCTTCCTTGGCCGCAAGAAAGCATTCACAGCCAACCAGCTGCGACAGCCACAAACATTTTTGATGTCCATGATGTGGTAATCGTTTCCTCAGCGTCCTGCCAGATGCTCGGGTACATGATGACTTGACTGCAACAGCCTGATTGCTTGGTCCACAGGGTTGCACTTCTCTTTCGTCTGGACGCGCTAGCAGCTCTCGAGTCGAACTGCTGCTTGCAGTCAATGCTTTTGAGTAAGCTCGAAGGGTGGTTTGCTGTCATTCCCATGACGCATCGACCAGTCTTCCGAAATTCCAAGCTTTTTGCCTCCGTCATGTTGGATGGGTTTAAGTTGCACTGTCATTGTTCCAACGCAACCAAATCCCGAATGCATTTCAAAACACGACCATGGGCTAAATACTTCTACACTGTAAACTGCAAGTTGATAAGTTCTCAACAGCTGGAAAATATCACTGTTATGATCTCTTATGCAATGTGTGGTAAACGGTAAACACAGCATTTGCGGAATCAAGAGCCTGCTCAAAATCTCAACAGTGCTGTTGGCACACATCACACTTTGGACAATGGGGCGGCCTGAGTAGCCTCAGCTGGGTCCTCAGCTGAACACAGTCAGTCCATAGCCAAAGCATATTCAAGTCGGGTACATGCATACGGACTGAAACAGTTGTGTTTGTTGGCAAGCAAGGCGGTCTAGTCAATTGTACGTTTTAACCTTATTTTAACTGATAAGACTTCAAATAGACCCATCCACGCCACACAGGCCAAAGGTAAGCTTGATCCTCCATCGCTTTGAGACATTGCCATGGCCACAGAAGACTTTTGTCACATCAGGCATGTTGCTGAAATCCCGCTCAAGCCGGCCTGAACAGAGAGACCCAGTGCAAATCACAAGCCGAGAGATTCGAGAAAGTATCCAACACCAAACACCCCACACAGATGTGCTTGAGAATCTCATGGTTTTCCAGACCTCGTACCGTTCTTCGTTTGAAGTGAAGGACATGTTCTCACACAATCAGAAGAGGTTCATGGGTACCGGGTAGAGGAGGGATGACTGATCGGATTTCATGTGCAACAGTGGCCAGATTTGCTGCAGTTTGGGCCATCACAGGCCCAGAAGTGTTTTGAAGTAAACCGGTTGCAAGCTGCTTTGCATTCGATAAGTTTCACAGGTGCTTTCGCTGCAAAAGGATAGCAGATTGCATTCATGTACGCATGTTTGCCATTCCTGTTTCGTGTTTGTGTTGATTCGATTGAAACATCATTATATTTAGCTTCATATTGGTGATTATTACATTATTAACTATTACTATATAATCTTATATCGATATCTATAGTCTATATAATAGTATCCATGCATTTTGATTTGGGTGTACCCTCATATCCCCGCTCGGTGTGCCCAATGCATAACAATTGCCGTTCTTCTCATCAGAACCGCCAAGGATTCAGATTCCTTGTTGGGGGGGTTTCTTCTCCCCTGGTGCCCGCAACACCGATTTGCTGTGAAGCTGCCTTTGAGTACAGCATTGTGAACACTCCTCCGCCCCGCGGCATTGTGATGCGGGTTTGGATTGGCTTGGAAACTTGAAATCAATGCTGTGCAAGTGTGCATGGCGCATTTCATCATAGATCAATGGCTTCCAGCTTTTCTTTTGAGTTATTAATAGCAATGGCCTCCAACCTACTACCGATGGCCTTACCAAACCAAGAGTTTGCTTCCAAGTGTCCTTGTGTCGTGTATTCTTGAAGGTCCTCCTGGCCTTTAAAGATGGAACTGCAAGATTTTGGAGGCGCAATCACTGTGGAGTTGAGTCCCAGGCCAGGGTGCAACGTGCTGAGATGCGTGGAATGATTTTTTGGCCAAGAGAAGGATTGGTGGCTAAGTTGTCATTAGGCATACGACCTGTACTCGCTCTGTCGCAGACCATGTGTGAAGTCTGACTCGTTTTTGCTTTTGTGGGCCTTTCTTGCAATCGTTTTGCTCAGGCACGAGTTGCCACAATTCACTGAGTATCTTGGCGGACTCTTGGTGAGACTCGTAGTCTCTGGCGAGGGCGGGCAAGACATCACGGACAGAGACATGGCCTTTGAGCTGTCCCAGCGGCTGCTTAGTGATTCAGTTTGTGTTTTCCTGAACCGCGTGGAGCAGCTTGGGAGGTGCAGCAATTTGGAGGTGGCTTTGAGTCAGACTAGTTGAACCATCAAAAAAGAGTTGAAGTCGTAGTTGTTGTTTGATGTTTGCTTTTTTGGGGGGTTGGGGGCACGTATAGCTAGAAACCTTGCTTCCTTGATGAGTCGATGTGCGCAAGTGAGGTGGTGCAAACACATCCTTTTCCCGTGCTTCGCTTCTCCTTTTTGAGAGTGACGTGGATGCGTGCAATGTCACTGCCTGGCAAGATGAAGCTGCGTGTTAGCGATTTGTCCGGGTCAGGCTTCTCTGCTGGGGAGGCTTGGTTCTAAGCAACAAATGTCAAGAGATTACTGTAAAAGGTAAAGTTGGGGTTCTTGGAGTGTTAGGATGCTCATTTGCCTTGCAAGGCACTACCTGCTGGTTTTGCCGATATGAACTCCGTTCAGAAGTTCGCCATTTGTGCAGCAGCAGCCTCCGCCAGCAAGGAGCTCTTGGAGCAGTCTATGACATCGGAGATTGTGGCAGAGACAACGGCTTCACAATACATGGTGGTGCTGCCGCCGCCGGAGACAGTCACCGTTGGTTCGATGTTTTTGGTCCGTTTGAAAGTCACTACAGCCAGTGGCGGTCCAGTCAGGGATGTGCGGGTTCGAGTGGGCATCAAGTCCCTTACAACCACGGCACCCGGCAGGACATCACCAGGACTGCTGCAATCCTTGGCAGTGCAGGGGAATTCACTTGGTGTTGTGTCCACTGGGAACATCAAACTAGATCCCTTGACGACGGTAAGAAGCAGTGATGGTTCTGGCATCATTGGGTTCCCTTTGACAGTGCTTAAAGCTGGCAGCGGCACATATCAACTACAATTTCAGCCTGATGTTCCAGACGGCAAGATTGTTTTGACAACAAGTGCATTCAAAGTCGAGAATCCCATCACTGCCATCTCTTCCAGCTCACGCATTTCAGAGATGAAGATCCCAAAATTTGGGACGTCGGTGCCTGTACCAGTGGCTCCACAGTTCTGCATCGAGACGGCTACCAACGAGTCCCTGCAGCAGATGGACAAGGACGGCATTAGGATCTCTATTGTTTTGCGCCTCAAAGCAGCTCCAGAGGAAAGGGAATCGGCGGCAATGAGTCTTGTCGCGCAGGCCAAGAGGGATGCAAATGAACAGGCTCAGAGAATTGCAAATGACATGGCGACACGCCTTGCACAGACCCCCAATACGGCGATGAGAAGGGCTGTCGACACAATGGTTGCCAGAGCTAATAGCAAAGCCAAGGGAATGTTTGCTGGCATGTCGGAAGAGTTTGCGGAAGCCTGCTTCGCCACACCGGCAAAGCTGCTTCAAACAGGGGACCCCGCCGTCATGGTGAATTTTGGAAATGCAACAGCAGCTCGGAAGATGTGTTTTTTATGCGAGCGCGCTAGAAAATCCAGTTGTCATTGGTCAAAGGAAGCTGTAGTTTAATTTGTTGGAGAAGCACGTAGTGAGCAGAAGCAGTGCAGCACAGGCCGAATAGGACAGGTGCATTGGGAAAGCAAGTGCGAATGATAGCCTACAACTACTCTACAGGCGACAGCTGTTGCTTAGGCACTTTTGTTTCCCATGTATTCGCCAATCTCTCAATCAGAGCTTTGACTTGGCTATCTTGGCTAAGGTGGATTTTGTGGGCGAACAAGCACCCAGCTTGGCAGAAGCTCTGGGAATGGATCCAACTGCCTTGGACCCCACACAATCACTCAACCAGTTCACTGAAGTTTTGATGTGACCAAGCTGAACTGTTAGACATCTCCGCTGTTCATGATGTTCATGTTTTTCCGGTTCACGCAATTATGACGCAAGTTTCTTGACAATCCTATTTTATCCTTGTCGCTTCTCCACAGAGGTTGCCAGTTAGCCTCGTATCCATGATTGCTGCGTCGGTCAGGGAAATTCGGGAATTTGGTGTAAACACCAGAGAGGTAAACATGTGGCACTCAATCCGGCCAGACAAAACTTGTAATAAAATAACACTAGGGCGTGTTGTGATGTGAGCGGTCAATTTCATAGCAAGGTTTCATACGATTTCGTTGCTTTTGCACGTTCTTGGAATTGGCTTGCAATGAAACTGCAAGGACTGTTGACTGTTGCAAATTCCATTTGTTTCGGGAGGAGCAGGGTTTTTGCATGAATGAGTGTCGTGCTTATTTCTGTAGGTTGCGTGACATGGATGTGTCAACTGTTGTGCCCCTCATGCAGCCTTAGGTCCTGACTTACCTCCCATGTTTTGTCACGCTTTTCCAACATTGTGCAACCAATGCACAAGGAACACCCAGCGTCGTGCGCACAATCAGGGCCTTGCGAAACTCCAAGTGTGTATCCGGGTAAAGGTTGAGGCCGAGATATGCCGAGATCATATATGGAAATTCTCTTGCGAAAACCATGCATTTGCTCGACATGCATGTGCGAGTGTCAAGACGACATGCAAAATACATGGCAAGTGTGGAGTTTGTTGCACTTCCGATAAGCCACGTAATGTGGCTGGTAGGGCGGCGGGGTTGCGGGGGGGCTGGGATATTAATAGCTGCGTGGCAATATCCTGTCCATACGTAGTTCGCTTGAAATTCACTCCCTGGTGTGCTCACATGCATGGACGGTAGGATGGACATATGCACTGGTGTTCGTGATTGTTTTGTTCTTGCGGCTTCTTGGAACTTGAAGTTTGGGGCTCTGAGCAAACCTTTTTTTTACGCTGAGCCCTTGGACTTTAGATAACTATTACTTGGATTTATGGTTTGTGTATGCCAGTGTATGCAGTGTGGCGGCTTGATCGAACAATTCGTTTTGCAGACGGTGTTGATCACGGGCCGTTCTTGATGTGATTGGTCGGTGGTGGTCTTATGATGCATCGTGGCTTTACAGCCAAGAAAGGTTCATCCATTTTCATCCCCACTCGCGTGCGGGAATGCCGCAAAAGCCGAAAGAAAAGGCCCTGCTATCATAATTCCATTCGGGGCGCCACGTTGTTAGGTAGTCAGGTAGTTTTTAACGCCTGCCGACCATTGTTTGAAGATGTTTGAGGCTGGTTCCACTGGGTTCCAGTGGTTTCAATATGTTTCAATGATTCAAGTGCTACAGGTCTGCCGGGGCAGCTCTCACACCAGCACGTGAAATGGCTGTAGAGGGCAGTTGGGAGCTGACTTTGAATGACTTGGACTTCAAAGGAGGTTGCACCTATGAACCTAATCAAAGCTTGGTGTTTCCTTTCAAGGAGGGCATGGATTACAGCTTTTCTCTCTTTGTCAATGGAGTGGAGGGCCCTTCGGAGCCTTTCAAAGTGCTATTGATCCCAGCGGATCCAGTTGATTTGGCATTTAATTGGTTTTTATCTGCTGTGGCCGCCATTGTGGGAGTGGTTCTTCTAACTACCAATGTGACGCTTCATCACTGGGCTTGGTTTGTTATCGCAATGCTTTGCACTTTGGGCATGTGCATCGGATTGCCCTGGATGACTTTGCACAAGGACCAGAGCCCAACCTTTGTGCTTTAATTGTGGCCGTACTTTGAGAGATTGCTTCACTAACACCACGGCACTCACCCGGGAACTGGTATTGAAGGTCGTAGAAGCGCATGTTCAAACTCTTTGATCGCAGTTTTTGCTTAAGGTGAAATTGGAATTACATAATTGGGAACCCTGTGGAAACATGTAGCAATATGAACTTTTGGCATGAAACTGACGCAAAAGCATTGTTGAATGAAGTAAGATACAAGATGAGCAGCGGTTACCAGAAATAGATGGAAATAGTGCGCCAATCAAGGTGAATTTATGTAGTTGCCCTGCGCTGAGCCAGGGCACCCAAAAAAGCTCTCAAACCGGACCATACTATTTATTTTTTCTGAGTTGTTGTTTTTTGGGGGTGTTTTAAAGTTTTACTAGTCGGTACGTACCCGTGCGAGCATCAGACAGTCGTGGAAGGTTGCTAAAACCTGTTTGTTGTGAAACGATGTGCCAAGGTATCGGCTTCCAACCCGTTTGGTTGTCCTCATTCACTATTATACAAAGTCAATGTCGATCTTATATAACATATAACACTATGTTTGAAAAAGGGCCACTGACTTCACTGGCAGGCTCACAGCTCGCTATTTGGTACAAGATGTGTTTTTGCTGCACGGGGCCTATACATATTACATCGTTAATTCCAATCTTCGTGACATTTTGTGACACAAGTCATATCATCAACACTAAGCTTATGTACCGGTTTGTACTCGTGAACGTTTTGCATATGCTTGCGTCAAAGCCATGTTCTTGGGTGGCCGTAGGATTAACATTTCCATTGAACTGTACCAATCACCCTGCCCACCCTATCCATTCACAACCAGCGTTGAGCTGGGTCAGTCACGGAGTGCCCAGCTCCCCTGCGAGAATCTGTACATAGTGGAAGTAGTGAGGAGTAGTGTCCCTGGAGACGGGAGTTGACACACACTCACGCACACATAGACTGAGTTTCATTCAGTAAGCGAATCCATGAGGAAATGAATGTGAGAACTGCAAGGCGATTGAGTCAGTCCACTTGTACATGTTTGAACACTGGTTGGAACGCACGACAACGTCAGCGGCTCAGCGGCGTCAAGGCTGCAGAAAATGGTGTGGAAAGGGTTTTTGGGATGATCATGAAAGGACCATGGAATCAAAACACGGCGATTAAAGTAGGGTGGCATCACAGCGCAGGTACGTCACAGGACGTCTCCAGTGATATCCTCAGGACACTGCAGAGAGCTTTGTTAAGTGGAGCTCTGCAGGCCTGCTCCACTCCCCTGCTTGAAATTTGGTTGTCAAATTTTCTAGACACAGGGTTCGACACACACACAAGCAGCCGCTTTGCGGCGCGCAGACACAGTGATTACTTAGCACTGGACTTGAACACTTAGCCCTTGACTAAAAAACCCGTTGCAACCTAAAAGCCTCTAGCGAAAAGGCAAACCTAGAAAGAGAAACAAACAGCAAGAGGTAAAGAAAGAAACGACGTCGAGGGGAGGGAAACGAGCCTCAAGAGCAACCTAACAAGCCTGAAGAAATACCTATATATCAAGAAGAAACCGCAAGAAGGAAAGTGGGGAGGGTTGGTTGGGGGCGAAACGAAATCTCCGTTGGCTGAGAAGTTGATGGCATGTGAAAACGCTGAAACACTAAAAGCCCGAAAAGTCTGACTGGATGCAATCTGAAGAAGTTGTCCGTGGGTCCGGCGGCATTGATATCGTTGATTCAGTGACAAGTAAAAGTACAAGTCAGGACGATACTCCACGCTGCAAAGCTGCGGAGCGGTTAGTCATTCCACATGGTCTCGGCGCCCTCTTGCGGGGGATCACGCTACGCACCCAATTGGGAAAGCGTAGCAGAACACTCATTGAGTTTCATACAGTAAGAGAATCCACGAGGAAATGAATGTGAGAACTGCAAGGCGATTGAGTCAGTCCACTTGTACATGTTTGAACGCCGGTTTTAAAGCACGACAACGTCAGCGGCTCAGCAGCGTCAAGGCTGCAGAAAACGGTGTGGAAAGGGTTTTGGGGATGATCATGAAAGGACCATGGAATCAAAACACGGCGATTAAAGTAGGGTGGTATCACAGCGCAGGTACGTCACTGGACGTCCCGAGTGATATCCTCGGGACACTGCAGAGCCCTTTGTTAAGTGGAGCTCTGCAGGCCTGCTCCACTCCCCTGCTTGAAATTTGGTTGTAAAATTTTCTAGACACAGGGTTCGACACACACACACACGCAAACTGCTGAGTCGGCGCTTCTAGGCTTCTAGGTAAAGGTGTGTTGGAAACAATACGGAGACTGGTGGCGGATGCGTGCTCTTTTGGTCGCTGCGCTGCGATGCACAGTCGTTCCAGGTAGTGCCTGCATGCTCTCTCAGTGATGGAGGAAGTAGGGTAGCCTCGCGGATGGAGTGCGCCCGCGACTGCAGTCCAGCAACGTTGACTGCCGTCTGAGTAGCAATCTTTGATCTGCCACGGATGGTTTGGGAGTTGAAAAGTGAGTGCGCGATTGGTGGGACCGATGTGGAATCCCAAGGGTGATCGTCTTCCACCGGCTCTATCCGGACGGGATGTCCGTAGAAGTTGGGGTGTGAGAGTGTGAGAAGGGGAAGTGTGTCTTGAAATTGCACGTTGTATAGAACGCATCGGTTGTTGACATAGCGGGTGTTGAAAAGGTGCAGGGAGGGCTGGTGAAGGAAGGTTTGATAGGTGTCCTGCCAGGTGTGCTCAATCAATGTAATGGCGACGTTGAAAAGTGCTGGGGAGAGTTGACTGCCGATGCCTGCTCCTTGAATTTGTTGAAAGTAGGTGGTGCATGACTGAAAGAGACAGGTGTGAAGAGTTTGTTCGACAATGAGGGAATATGGGTGGTGTCGGGTGTTCGTTGTTGAGGGTGGTATTTGTGATGTCGTCCGATGTGTGATTGTTGAATGGGATTGCCAGTAGTGAATGTCGATGGTAAGTGTGGAAGCGTCGTGTTGGAGTTGCCATTGGGTGCAGCATGTAAGATACAAGATCAGCAGCGGCTACCGGAAATAGACGGAAATACTTGCCCTGGGCTGAGCCAGGGCACCCAAAAATCTCTCAAAACATTTGAGTTGTTGTCTTTGGGTGTGTTTTAAAGTTTTACTAGTTTTTCTTTTGCAGCTTTCATGGACATCGTCACGGTAGTCAATCTCGATCTATGATTGAAAAAGGGCCACTGACTTCACTGGCAGGCTCACAGCTCGTTATTTGGTACAAAATGTGTTTTTGCTGTACGAGGCCTATAAATTGTTAATTCCAATCTTCCTGACATTTTGTGACACAAGTCATATCCTCAACATTAAGCTTATGTATATGCTTGCATCAATGCCATGTTCTTGGGTGGCCGTAGGGTTAACATTTCGATTGAACTGTACCAATCACCCTGCCCACCCTATCCATTCACAACCAGTCGAGGGCAGGCAAGGAATCAAGGAATTGACGTGTTGAACAACTGACAGAGGTGTACTGACTGAATGTAAGACCGTGGAAGAGTTGCCCACGCCAAATGACCTGAAAAGTCAAACTTGTTTGCAGGAAAGAAGCGCACACAGACACACACACACACATTTATATAGTTATATGAATGTGGGTCAAAACACGGGGGACATTGACCAGCGAAAATGAACAGAATAGAACCTACCAGGGAGATCAACCTGTTTGGACCAGGTTTTGACCCACAGCCATATATATATATATATTACAGTATATATGTTATATCCATCTAGCCGTTCCACTCACGACTAATGCACAACTGACAATGAGCAAGTTGGCACACATCATTAACACGGCGCTGGGATACGTTGGGAGCTTCTTGACTTTGCACATGTGTGGGTTCGCCGGGGGGGAGCTGCCAAGTGTGAAACTCTGTTTGAGACCCAAATGCGGGAGGATGCTATGTACGGGTCATGGCTCTACATAGCAATCGCAAACTTTGCCCTGATCGCTGTTGCATTGGTTTGGGGCTTGACCGCCCAGCTGAGCCCAAAGATCAAGACGTTTGAAGACAAGCGTGCTGACATTTTTGAAGAGTACACTCATCGACAGTTCAAAACGCTTATTGGCTTTAATGAAGGCAAGCGAGATCCACGAAGGTCGGCCCTCAGAGATACATTCTTGAAGCCCTTCAACTCACAGGATGCGTTCTTCTTCCCGTCAGCGTTCTTGATTGCCAGCTTCTTGTCGTTTTTGAGCTTCATCTATGTGCTGATGCAGTCCATCCAAGTTCTGAACAACACCGAAAAGCTCTTGCAACAGATCCTGAACACGGCCGTGGATCGATCCGTGCTTTTTGTCAGCAGCATCAACAACGCCTATTTCCAAGCTTTAGGAGCTGATTTGCCCGACAGCCACTTGGACTTGCAACTCTCCCACTACACCTCACGACGTCTCGACAAGGTTGCAGCCACTATATCATTATGTAGAGTGATTTGCTATGTGATTTTCTTGTGCCATGTGAAATTGCTCGCCCTGAATCTAGAGGAGGCAATAGTACGGTTTGCGTGCGCTACACAAAATGCTGCACTCTACTTCAAGATGTAACACGCTCATCATGCATACCTCCATGAGCAAGCATGTTGAGAAGAACCACTTCACACCGAAGGCCGTCAGAGGCTCTGAAAAAGGGGCGAGCCTTTTAGATGGTAGCGGAGCAGTGAAGGGGATTCAGGAAGTCTCCATCAGAAGCAGGTCGGTGAGTATGAGCTGGAACTTTCTTGGACGAGAACCACAAGATAGCTGGTTCATGCGCTGTTGCCCTGTTCAGCTGAAGCAGCATCTTGAACTGAATGTGAAGCCAAGTACAAAGCATGCCCAAGTGAAGGAATCCATGGTGGCCTGTGAGTAATCTACAGCTGCCTGGTCAGGTTGTTTTCATGGAGGTGGACAGAGTCAAAGGTGACCACAAAGGAAAAGGCAAAGGCAAGGGCAAAGGCAAGAAAGGATCATTCAAAGGCAAGGGCAGGGACGAAGGCAAGCAAAGGGCAGGAGCAAGTCAAAACGGGCTTGCCATGCCAGCCACAGAGCTTCAGTTTGCTAGCAGCGCTCTCAGCAGGTACAACAAGTTGACGGCAACGATCATGGAGGTGGAGAGTGGGAGGAGCAAGTGACAGCCTGAAGGGCAATCACTCGGACCCAGTGCAACCTCCCACAAGAGTGGAACAGTGAGGAGAATCTGTGAGATCGAAGCCCCGCCTTTTCTGGAAATCTGTGAGACAAGGGGAGGTGGACACCGAAGAGACCTTTGAGGAGCACTTCGAGATGATGGTCATGGCAGTGCTAACTGTGACCTCGCCATGACAGACCAGGACATCCAGGTGATCACAGAAATGGAGCTGGGCTACAACGCGCGCAGGGTATTTGGAGCTGTGTTATTTAGGGTGATTAGCATGGAGATGGGCGCTTTGGGCATGAGAGCTCAAGAGCTTATGGAGAAAGACTTCTTCGAGACGCCGAGATGCACAAGGCCGGATGAACCCTGTGAAGAGCAAGGTCTCAACGACCATGAACTGCTTGGTGGCCAACGGGCAGCTGGCCAAGCTGAAGGAGATCTTTGTGGTGCCCGATGTGAAGCAACCAAAGAAAGGATTGATAATTCAGAACTGCAACGGCCAGTTTTACCAGAGGGCTTTTCCGTACCTCTGGAGTCTTGGAGTGGCAACGCAACACTGGTGCTGAACTTCGCATTGGAGAAGGAGAAAGTGAGCTTTGTGATGAAGGAGCTCAAGCAGATGTTTGAAAGGCGAGGATGGTATGAGATGAGTGATGGGACGCCCTGATTCCAACACCTGTCAGGACGGTTTGACCCCTCAGAGTATCCTTGCAGGAGAATGGAGCGCGGAGAGCGCCCCGCTTTGCTTGTTTGAGGAGAAGGTGAACTTCTCATGAACCAGAACCTCCATCATGGAAATGTAGCTCAAGAGCAATACCAAAGGACAATGTTCAATGTCGTTTCAAAACCTCCTAACTCCGACACAGAAACACGTGGCAGTGCCCAAGATGGAACGTTTTGGAATGAACCTGATGGAGGAGACGAAGCAAATCCATTCCTGAAGAACTTGCGCATGATGATCAGGGACGAACTGAATAGCATGAGAACCTGGCTGAGACCGCATATGCGTCGGGAGATGAGAGCGCGGAAGAACTCACTGAAGCAGAAGAGGACGTGTGGATAGAAGAGGGCCCAGAGACGCAGAAGATACAATGCCTGGAGAAAAGTACCTGGACGGACCACTGGGAAAGTGAAAGTAAAAATCATGAGCCGGACAGAGCACAAGGCGATGGGCTTGGAGGTGATGACTCAGGAGAAGTTCACAAGTTCAACAATTTGGAGAGTTGGAGTTGGAGCCAGGGATGCTGGGGCAATCGTGACAGCTACAGAAGCAGGGTTCCCAGGAGTCGTGTTTTGGTTGAATGCAAAGGCATTTTGTACTTGGGAAGGCGAAGAATGACTTAATCTTGAACCCAGACCCAAGATGGAGAATGGTGGCACGTGGCTACTTCGAAAAGTTCAAGGAGAACCTGGCCCCAAGGATGGCTCCAGAGAATTAACCAGGGGTGAAAGAGCCGTGACTGGGTGGAGCGTGTGAGACAAACGCAGGCCATGAGCAGGCCGGCGTAAGCAATCAATGCAAGAGGCTATCACTGCAAGTGAGCTACCTCACCGTGCTGCAATGAGTGTGGAAGCTGGCTGTGACTAGCAACGTCAAAACCAACGGAGGAGTGTCGCACTTGAACACCAAGATGTAACACACTCATCATGCACACCTCCATGCACAAACGTGAACAACTTCACACCGAAGGCCGTCGGAGGCTCTGAAAAGGGACGCCTTGTAGAACATAGAGACATCTTATTATAACTATATAGACTACTAAAATATTGGTGCGCGCATTACTTGTTGAATCCAACAAGAACGATGTGTTGTCCAGCACACTGAGGTTCTTCCGACTTCATGTACGTTCAGATCCAGGTCATGAAGGATTGGTTCCAGAAGCTGATCACTTCCATCGTCATAGGCTTCACGACTGGCAACTAGACAGTTAATAGCCGAAGAATTAGCGCATTGCCCGACAGGTCTTGTGGCCGACTCAGCCCTAGAGTGGGCAAGCGGCAGCGTGAAAAAAAAACACACACATGTCACATGACACAATCTTCACCTATCAGATCTCAGATACCATCCAAAACTTTTAACAAGCCCACTGTCACACGTGCAATACGTCCATTAATTCATGTTTGGCTGTATGCTGTACACTCATTGCAGGGAACCGTGCTAGCTGGTCAGGGGTGTCGACACAATGGTTCATGTGACTGCCCTGTGAGATGGCTGCGCGTGAAAAACAATAGTGCTTGCCCACGTGAGGGTTTTGGAAAGGAGCCGGGGAAGTCAAGTTGCTTTCAGCCACGATTCACAAATGCGGTGCGAGGCATTGTTGTGGCTGCTATTCTGACGGTGGCAGGGCTTTTGGGTGGGTTTGTGCACTTCCGGCAATCTGTAATGGACGCGAGACGTGGAAAGTTCAACTTCAAAAAGTCAGATGCCAAACTAGTTCCCTGGACTTGTATTTGTTCCAAATTCCAAAGTGTTCAACCTGCAAGTTGGAAGTAAAAGAGAAGAGCTCAGATATCTATTTGTAAATGGAAGCGGGATCGACATGTTCAACTCCCAGGTTTTTGCCACCGCCTTCATCGGCATCAACATTTCTTCATCCATCGTCTCATTTATTCTGATTGTGGGTTTGGTGACATTGGTGACGTTGCCTTTCACCTTCGAACTTACTTGGCGCGTGATTTGGTCATATGCGGGGACGATTCTATTGACCTTCGTTTTGCCGGCAGTCATCAAATTTCTTAGCACCAAGATCTTGAAGGGCTGCATCTTTGGACCCACCTTCATCAAGACGCGCGCAGGCGACTCGCCAGCAGTCATTGCCTGAAACAATGGGTTGTATGGGTGTTCATCCTGCAGATTGGTGAAAAGTTCATGGATTTCCAAGGAGCCTCAATCTTTCACTTCTACACAACCTTCCTTGCTCTCCCAGGAGGCTTGCGAACTTGTCCGAAGCTCTCCTTTTGATATTGAGACCCCAAATCGCCGGCAGGTGTAGTCACTGCCATCGTCAGATTTGTCATGGGATTCTCGGCTTTTTCAGTGTGAAACTCTGCTCAGACTTGGGACTGGTCAAGAACTATAGCCCCGTTGAAACTTCAGGGGCGTTCGAAAACAGAAATTGCCAAAATCATTGACCCAAGCATCCTTCACAAGCATGTCCTATCACGCATCGATGGGATTGACCAAAGGCTTGCTGAGCGTCCTGGTGATGCTGCCTATCACCTATGGGGCCAACACGCCAAATATGGTCAACAGTGTCATGCTTCTGGATTCGTTACTCGCCTCAGATTTTTTCCAAAAAGTCGGGCCTACTTGATACTAGAGATGTTTTCCAGACAACGTGGGTTGCTTGCAAGAAAGTTTGAAGATGGGAACGGAACAGCTTGCCGAAAGGATAGTACAGTTGATTTTACTTTTCTTTCAAAGTCAGAGTTTGTCATAAACAGACGAGTTGGGCAAGTGTCAGGCCAGTAGAAAAGCGAGTGAAAGATGCATGGAGACACGAGGCTTTGGTCGCTAGGATGTGCTAAGGTCCTACAAGACCTATATCGCCTACGTGATGCAGCTCGCCATCATTATAATTGCATCAATCCTGAAGCATCATCGCAGACAAGACAAAGAGAGCGGCCACAGTCGCCGAGGGTTGATTAACTTAACTTAGGCTCTATGCAACCCACAACAACCCGATCATGATTACAGCCGCTCGCCGGCTTCTTGCGATCAAAGAAGCACGTGAGAAGCACCGGGAGGACATTTCAACCACGGTACTGACGGTACTGGCTTGGGTAATGATATGATATACTGCATAATGTGTGAACATAGAGAACTGTGACTTGATGGCAGTCTTTAAATGGGACAAACTGGATTCCAGTTGTGGTAGGAGAAGAAGCACTGGACATCCAGCCGCAGCTTGTTGATTCTAATCTTGATCCGAAACTTGGCCCGCATACACTGGAATGTACTGGACATATGTCAGCTTACAAAGTTTTGGACACGCTTCTTGTACAGGACTCTTGGATAGTTTGGTAAGTAAAGCCCCCCCACATGCTGTGCTCAATAGATGCAATGCAGTGTGGAGAGCCCAGTGTGACGCTACCGCCAGTGGCCAACCGGTTTTTGGCCGACATGTGCGGAACTTCGTGCATGTAACAAGTGCCACGCTAGTAGGAACAAGTGCCACGCTAGTAGTAACAGGTGCCTTACTAGTAGCAACAAGAACGCTAGTAGGAACATGGTGCAGCTTTTGAGACGCCTTGAACTTTTGAGCTCAGGATTTCCCCACCTACGTCAGTGTCTTTGCTGAGCTTACCTAGCAGCTAGCAGGTTTTAAAACGCAGAGTGAGGCATCACTGGAATCAGTTGTCCTCATCAAGATGGGTGCTCGTTTCGCACGGGCTGCTTTGGTGGCCCCTGTTTTCAATTGGACTCTCCGCATCTCACATCAAAGGTACCGGAAGCATGTGCTGGAGGAGGTTGCGGAGCAGTCTACAAATTGTCTATGCAATGGCCTCCAACCTAATAGTAATGGCCTCCACCCTAGTAGCGATGGCCTCCATCCTTACAAAAGACACTGCCAATTTATTGATGAGTTGTACAGTGCACTTTAGTAAAAAGGGCTTGCTTTGTTTGTCGCATGTTTTGCACTGTGGCATTTGTTGTCATCAAACTGCAGTCCTAACAAGGAGTTCGAACTACGGGCTGGGTCCAGTGTCCAAATGGAATTCTTGCATTTCCTGTTGTTTTACCTTTTTTGTTTATATATATATATATTTATTTATTATATATAGTGGCCTCGGGACACCTCAACCTTCACCAGATTCAAGGAATTACCAGCGTAATTAGTGAGTCAGAGGAGCGCAAGCTTCAGAAGATCCTCAAAGACAAGAAGTATGCCAAGAGTATGAAAGATAAGAAAGGGGAAGAATCTGAGAACGTATTCATCAAGGTGCAGGACCGCGCGTTTACAGATTACTGAGCCGCGCAAACTACAACATGCAAGTGGCCCTAAAGAAGGGCGCTCATTGATAACAGACGTTACATGTGGTTACTGTGAAGGTGTTCCATGCATTTCAGACTGTTTCAGACTGGTTTGCCACTGAGCAAGAGCCAGGGTGGTATTTCAATGCCTGAATCCTAAAGAGTGTGAATGAATGACTGCGTGGTATCAAAATTCGACACGGCAAGTCAAGCTCTCACGCAGGAGGGAAGTGCAAAGGTTGAAGAACCCTGGATTGCAAGCACCTAAGTTCGTTTGTTGGCTTCAGTGGTGCGATAATCCTATTTCCAGCAACCTTCAGGCCAATGCCTACGAGGACGCTCTTCAGGATGGTATCAAGATCCAGCGGAAGATTGAGCTGCTTGGCACTGACTTGCAAACTAACTATCGTTGCCGGAACATGCCGGAACGAGTTGAGAGAGTTCGCCACGAGACTGAGCTGTGATAGCAAATGAGTAGTCGCACTGGATGGAGAAAGAGAGAGTGAGAGTAGGAGGGATGATTGCACGGAGGGAGGCAGTGAGAGTATACATGTGCAACAGAGCAGATCCACCTCTCTCACTGCCTCGATCATATCAATCATTAGATCTCGACTATCTGAACAATTTGCTGAGTGGCAAGATTTGGGCATGGGCTGATGCAATTTCCTCAGGTTGATGAAGAAGTACCGCACTATGCTATCCGCAACCTGGCTGTGCTGCCCAGCCGTGGACGGTTTTTAGACTCAGAATGTGTGTCTTCGTATGTTTTATTGACGTAGTACTACTATAAATATATGTAAATATAAGTCGTGACCTTTCCAGGATGTCAGCAAAAGCATGCAAAAGCTAAGGGGTTGCAAGAGGACACCCCGGAGTACAAAGAAATGAAGGACAAGCTTCGAGAGCTATCCCTGCCTTTGCGACGGGACAGTCCAGTGCTTGGTGTGTAGAGATTACACACTCCGAAGATCAGTGCCAAGCTTAGCTTAGAAGCGGCACAGGCCAAAAACACATTGTGCGTTTGGAATGTGGGGTGACCTCCAAAGTGGAGCCCTGCACTGAATAAACATGAGAATGCACATGGTGCATCCCGAGAGTCCCTTGAGGGGTCAACGTTCATCTTTTTCAAATCTACCAAGTGGATTTGCTAATTCGTACATGTTTCATAATTAACATTCCTGTTGTAAACAGAGTTTCACCAGCAACAAGAAAGCTGGACATGCTGCATGGCTCAAAAAATGACAAGCATGGCCCCCATGTGCTTTTGGAGCTAGCTGGGCAAACTAAGCTCCAAAGCAAACATGAAACAACACACAGTATCTCATGAGTCATAGTTCTCCTTGTTTATGTTTCTTCGCGATTTAGGGAGTCATGTCCGGAGTCCCGATCGAAGTGCCTAGCGGCCCTGACCCGTGAAACAGTAGATCAATCCTTCGGGACAATCCAGCCTCCAACCTAACCTAGAAGCGATGGCCTCCAACCTACTAGCAATGGTCCCTGAGGTGTATGTGCCTGTGTGTCCTGTCACTTGGTGGTTCAACTTACTTACTTCTATTGGGTCAGCGTCGGAAGGGTCCTTCTGGTCATCATACATGCCTTTTGAAGTCTGAAGTGAAGCATTGGTAATTTACCTAAGGCACCGTTTTGGGCCTGTATTTATTGGGATCCTTTCCGTTTTGAAAAGGTATTCGTGCATCGTCCAGGCCTTGATCCTGGTTGAGTTTCACTGACGACTGAGGCGGCACGGTGACACCCACTGAATGCATTAAATGGACAAGTATGTGATGAGCATTGTATATATATATATATGTATTTGGCATGAAATTGCAGGTGTGTGTGTGTGTGTCACACTTTGTTTCTAAGAGTTTACACTTGTTGATTACCATCGCAGGGGCGTCAGGCTCGACACATCTACCTGACGCAACGAAGCTGAGGAAAGTGAGAGCTGATCACTCTCATGTACCTGCGGAGTGCTTCACAAGCTGTTACCCTCCTTTTCCACTTTTTGATTCATGGTTGTTCACATGATACCTCCCTTAAACCTTTCCTTTGTCGCGTTTCCTGCAGCTGAGTCGCGCTGACGCTCGCCACCGCAGACATGTCAACAGATTGTTCAAACAACACAAGTGCGCTGACCCTTTCACCTTGCGGTTCCATCACCATTTTCGACCTGGGAATTGAGTTAACTGAAAACCCAATGTCAAAGTGTGTCTCGCTCTGCCGTCCCACTTGGGTGCAGGGTGTGATCCCCGTCACTGGGGCACTGTTTTCACGCTGGAGTACCACTAACCGCTTTTCCTGCTTCCTGCACACGTTGGATTATCTCAACCGATTTTGTCTCACCACTGTATTCCCAAAATTCCACGCCGCCGGGCCTACGGAATTGCGACTGAACTTCCACGCCGCCGGGCTTACGGTCATATATATGTGTCGCACACACACCGAAGGAAATGGTACTCGACACTTGTGTGTCGGTGCCGTTCCTTCTGTTTCTCCTGTCCTAGTTCTAGCTACCCGAGCGGTTGAAGACTAATGTCCCGCTCGCTAACTCGTGCATTTAATTCATGCGGCTAAGTATTTAGTAACTAGCAGGTTTCGCACCTATTTTTCTCTCTTGCCCTTGCGTTTCCCTTTCTGTCTTTTCTTTTTCTTTCTTTCTAAGGCTATTTTAGGTGGTTATATAGTAATTTCCTCCGGAGCGCCGATATCGGCGCTCTGTGTGTGTTTCACACTCTGTTTCTAAGAGTTTAAACTTGCTGATTACCATCGCAGGGGCGTCAGGCTCGACACATCTACCTGGCGCAACGAAGCTATGATGTGTCGAGGGAAGTGAGAGCGGATCACTCTCATGTACCTGCGGAGTGCTTCACAAGCTGTTACCCTCCTTTTCCACTTTTTGATTCATGGTTGTTCACATGATACCTCCCTTAAACCTTTCCTTTGTCGCGTTTCCTGCAGCTGAGTCGCGCTGACGCTCGCCACCGCAGACATGTCAACAGATTGTTCAAACAACACAAGTGCGCTGACCCTGTCACCTGGCGGTTCCATCACCATTTTCGACCTGCAAATTGAGTTAACTGAAAACCCAATGTCAAAGAGTGTGTGGATTGGACTTGTTGTTGCATTCAGGCAATTGATTTGCATTCCTTGTGTGAGGCGTATGTGCATGTATTGTGTGTTTGATGAGTTTGCCCAGTGGTCCGGTGAGAACCTACTGGACCGCTAGACTCTATGTAGACCGGTTTGTAGCTGCAGCTGCGAATGGGAAAATATGAGAAGAGTGCAGTATTGGAGAGATCGTGGCTTCAGACTTCAGTCTTTCCATAATCCTGGTCGTGGAGATGCTAGGCCTTGGAACAACCATGTGAGAGGAAAAAGGATGCTTGTCACGCTTATTTGCAGCCTTTTCCGGCTTCAGTCGGGCAGTCACAATTGGGCTTCGCAGTCTCAGTCACTCCGCGTGGGACTCAAAGATGTCACGTGTGGAGGGCGGTTTCGTCTCCGGAGGGGCCTCAGGGACCCTGGTCCCTGGGATGCAAGTGACGGGCAGCGGCATGGTGGTCGGAAGTGGCGATATAGTGGCTGGTGGGGAGCCCAGAGCTTTATGAAGAATACGCGCCGGCTCCTTACATTCTCGTGTTCACCTTGTTCTATGCAGTATTCATAGTTTTTAGATGTTTTTAGCTTTGCTGGAAGAACTGCGGTGCCGAAAGATGGTCTTGAGGTGCTGGTGCTGGCGCAGGTGTTGCATATCGTGGTGATGCTGGAGCTGTCACTTAGCTGCAACAAACTGCAACTCAGTTCAGACGTGGTGATTTTGTTTGTCAAATGATGATAACTATGACTCGACGTTGGTTTTTGCCCTTGCGAATTAGCTGAGCACCATATTTTGAGAATGCATGCGTTGCAGACGAACTTATTCACTGCCTTTTCCTTATATGTTGGGTTTGTCCTAATATATACCTTATATAATCACTGTTTTTGAACAAGGCCTTTACTAACCATCATCATCCACTGTTACAGGTATTAGGATAGATCCATGACCCATTTACTTTATTATCAGGAAGGCCCCGATAGGCATGGTTGAGCTCTCGATGGGCGAACGGAGTGAGTGATAGGGTATGTGTGGGGGGTGACGGGTAGGGTGAATGCAGAGCTTGGTGGGGGAGAGCTGAAAAAAGAGGCGGCAGAAGGTAATGAAAATATATGTTTTTAGTAGGGGTCTCGGTGATGCGAGTCATGCCAATGACGCTGAGTAGTGCATCACCAGCATCACAAAGTGCTCAGGAGACTATTAAAGTGGTCTACTGAGGTGAGCTGACCAGGTGTGTGAGTCCAGGTAGGGGACAGGAGACTGGACGATCACTGCATTGTTCTCAGAATGATAGGAAAGGAAAGTAGAGCTTGACTTTCATTGCTTTAGTGGTGCCTGACCGAGCTTTATTTTAAGCAGACTGATGCAACATGATGCAACAGTCTTTGTTTTCCCGTTGCTAAAAACGTCAGAAATATTTGCTGCCCAAATATATTGTGGACTACAGGGGCTGGATTTCGTCCCCTCCCTTTTCAAGTTTAGTGATTAACTATATATATATATATACGTATGCCCACCATGCTGGCTTTGTAATTAGCCGGAAGCAGGAACACTGTTTGCACAGCCCCAAACAGCTACTCGCCAAAACATGTTCTTTGGAGTCTCCAATGTGTTCTGCATGAGGCGGGCAACTGTCACGCCGATTGTTTGGACGCGGGCCCGGGCACAATGTGCTTCGAACCAGATCCTTACTCTGTGACAAAGCAAGCGCAGTGGAAGTATTTTGGAGCCGGGGAAGGATCTTATGACTCGGTGGCTCGCTGAAAGTTGCATCATGTGCATGACGGTCAACATCTCTAAAGTCAGAGGCTGCACCGAATGAGGGTAAACATACCATGTGAGCATGACGAGAAAAATTGTATTTGCAAGGGTCGATGTGTGTGTCACTGCTCCATTATTGCCAATTGAGCGACTTGACTTGATTCGCCTGAATCACATCCTTGTGAGGTGCAACAAGTGACCTATGTAGGCCAGGGCGCCGGCAGTTGGGAGCGGCAAGAAGTGGTTTCCCACACTGGATATCGCTGGAGGGCCGCTCGACAACTGTTGATCATATCATATCATATCCGTAATTCAAGGACTTGGACTGGTTTGACTCGTTGGACTTTGGTTTTCGACCATCCAAGTCTTTCAACTTGTGTAGACAAGACGAGAAGGCGGAAGGATGCAGAAGGGCAGGCCAACTTTGTTCATTCTTGGTGTTGGCCCTGAGCGATTGATTTGAGCAGTATATCATTGCCGCTCCTGTTCCTGCTCTTGGTGACTAAGCCCTTGTGCATCACGCTGATCACTTGCGTGCTGCTGGTGGCCGCTTGCATCTTGGATGCCACGGGAGTCCAAATACGTTTCCCTAAAAATCTAGGAACCAAATCACTAGTGCGGGCGCTTCTTCAAAAGAAGCGTGAACTATCCTGCGTCCTACCTAGAAGCCAACTTAGCCTAGTAGTTTACTCCCTTACTCAACTGAGTATGCGCATACTTAATCGAGTAGCAGCCGGCTAAATTAAAAGGAAAAACGACACAACATGTGCCTATATATATTACTATATATATACAATATATATATATATCCTTGGATCAGTTGAAGCCGAGAGATCCAAATATAAAGCTCATGGCGCACACGTGGTATGTCGCAAGCCCCGAAGTTTTTGAATCGCTTTGTACAACTGTTGATGTTTGCTGTTGACGTGTGTTTCTAACCGACATGCTTATAATGAGCTGCGCCCGCTCTAGCGCTTCACTCTCAATCCAGTGTGGCACGAACCTTTGTTGTGTACTGTCGATTGCTTTTGTCCTTGCAGATGTTAACTGACTGTCAACGCTCAGGCATCATTGTGATTCCTTTACTCATGCCAGCTCAACGCGATACCGGCTTTGACATTCCAGCGGCACAAGATTGCTCCCTGGGTGCTCACGATTGGAAGCTTGCTTGTGAGACACACACCTGTTGGGTGTGTGATTTTCTCGCACCACGGGAGTTTGGCCGTGCGCCATCGTTGGCCAGTTGTGAGTTCTCTCAGGAAGAACTTGTGGGATGAGACGAAGCAGAACTACTGCTGCCAGCTACTTGGCTGAGGGGGATCGACATGAAAGCCCCATGATGAGATGTATCGATGACTCTGACAAACATTTTAATTTTTATATAATGCAGAACTAAGAATCAGTGGGTTGGTCCAAGAGGCAGGCCGCCCGATATGAACATATATATATATTATATAGAGAATATATAGCACAATATTAAAGTAATTAAAGGAATATGTGTGAAATATAACAGTCAGATATGTGTGCAGGTATAAATGTCAAGTGGTTAAGTGTTTCGAATGGTTCCAGCCCAAGCTTTGTGGTGATATACAGTGGGTCTCGAAGGAACCAAAACAACAACGAAACACTAGTAACTTTCAGACGGACATGGCCCAGAGTTTGAGTCATTGTTTATTTATGTTGCCACTAGTTGCAGTGCTGAAGAAAAAAGAAGGGACATGCTGCCTCATTGAAACCATGGAGAAAAGCGCGCAGCTCCAACATGTTAACCGTACCATTTATCAGGGAAATTGAACAAGGAACAAGAACGCTACTTGGAGCAAAGGGCATCGCTACTAGGAGCAAGGACGCTACTTACTAGGAACAGGAAGCTACTAGGTAAAGACTCTGAGGAAGTCAAAAGTGTTTCTTTCACAATATGGACCACCTCAAGACCGACAAGGTCAGCAAGAAACACTAGTCGTTATACAAAATTGTAAGGATTGCTCCTCATCCAGGTTCATGGTAGTTCTTGTTACCAGGCGGCACGAAAAAGGAATCCTTTCCCCAAACAACCTGACATACTGCAAATCCCCACAGAACATGTGTCAGTCATGCCTGAAGCCAACAAATTATATAAGATTTAAGATGATCATGTCGTGCATTTTTTTGTATTTGGGACTGCTGGCAGTGGGCATTTTCCTCTATATAGGTTGCTGCAAGCACATGGCTTGCCCGAAGCAGGACCAAAATCCCAAAAGATGATTCCTCATTCCGTCCATGTGGAGAGTGCCACACGTTTTCATCGTAAGCACCAATACGCCCATTGATGATGATGATGATGATGATGAGGATGAGTTATACAGTGGCATTTGAGAAAATTTGAGAGCAGTATCCTCCGATCTTGTTTCATTTAGTACACAACGTTAAGTTAATTGTCATTGTTTTTCTCGCGGCACCTCTCAGGACCCAAAGCGTTGGTTGTCCTTCCGCCGTGGCTACGCCCGTGAAAATTGTCCACTTTACTCACTATGTGACGCGAGTCCACCGGGTGCCACACCCAGTGGCAGACTATGTTGAGGTTCCTGTGCCACACGTGCCTGGGGCTGCATCTTCAGACAACATTGCATACATTTGTATAGCTCCTTTTCATGTCCACAGCATCGACCTCAAGACAGCCTTGAACTCGGTCAACTTCAACAGGTTTCAACTGGCCCTTTCACATGCTTCTACAACAAGGGGAGCTTATCATACCTTGTACGAGCGATGTTTTTGCACATAATATATGCATACAACATTATAATACATTATATAGTGAGTTGGCAGCAGTTAGAATTCACTAAAAGTAATTAGTTGCAGATAGAATTTGGAAACCAACTAGAAAACTAATTACCCGAGACCTATGCAGTTAGAATGTAGGCCTCGCAGTTAGAATATGGAAAACATGCACTTAGAATATGGAAATATAAACTATATAGGTATAGATACATATATGTATATATATATGGTTATATGTATGATATATATATATGTATAATGTATATATATACACACACTTTGGCAGCCAACCTTGCTGGCACACCAATCACTTGCCAACGGTCTTTTTCCCATCTCGCCCATTGCAATCCATATTCTTGCCATGTAAACTTAAATTCGTGTGTTGACCTTGCATTGTCAAACAGCACTGGATTTGCAAGTGATCTTCTCTCTTCACTTCTTGTGAGCTGGCTCCGCCGCCAATGCTTCCCTCACTCGCTGCAACTGTCCCTTTGCAAGGCGGTCCTTTGGCTGTTGGTTCAGATGGTCCACCAGCATCAACTCGACAACTTGAAGTAATGCTTGCCTGGGTGTTCTGCCAGAGCTGCCACCAAAGCTCCGTCCGTGGTGAGATCCTCCGGCTGCACTGGCCCTCCAAACTCTGGCAGCCAAGTGAATCCCTATTGAGCAGCCTGGCGGCCGCTCTACCAAGCATTGCTTGTCTAACTCCTGGTACTCACTGCGTTGCTCGCAAATCCTAGTGCGCGTGACCTTGGAACACTTCGGCTGGTCATCTTCATCACTATCAGACTCGTGCACAAAGAGCCAGCCGGAATGAACATGTGGATCCAGGCCTTCATCCGACACGTCATCGGCCGGTCCACCCATCTCCATATCATCCGCAATCTTGTCCTCGCCATCCACATCAGCTCCATCGTCATCATGGTTTGCAACCACGGGTTCATCGTCCGCTGGTAGATCACCTGGCTATACAACAAATTATATTTAAATTTGATCATTTCAATGCAGATAGAATATGAATGCAACTACCTCAACACAGGTGAACTGGTTTAGATGACATGTGGCTTTAATGAACACGTAAGTACAAAACCATCTATATACTTATATATATATATGGCACACTTGTCGGTACACATGTTTTTCCCAACAGCTGCCTGTGAAATGATCAACTTCCTCTGGAACATCCAAGTCCTGCAAAGTGTTCTCGCCTCGCATGAGCTTTAGGAGCCACCTTTTGCCATCACCAGCCTGAATCCAAAGATCATTTGCATCTATGGAAGGGTGCACCTTCAGCATGAGACATGTTCTCCGCAAGGTTGCAGCACTCTTCATTCCTGGATTCTTGACCACTGCCTGCTTCTTTTTGTCTAGAATCAGCACTTTAGTTGTTGCTTCAAGCCACTTTTCATATGCAAGCTTGCTCTTGGGAGGCAATTCACTTTTTCCTTGTTGGTGCCTTTTATCCTTGCGATCCTCCCAAACCTCGTATTCACGTTTCCAAGACAGTACGATAGTGTCTATAGGCAATTTGAACCATTGAGGCAAAGGAATTGCCACTGGGTCCACAACATCGGGATCTGAAATGGACCAAAAGGTGACTGATTCACCTTCCAACACTTTGGACTCAGCAATCACAATGGCCTTGGCAGAATCTTCATTTGGTTCATCTGGAAGTTCAGGTAGATCATCCAAACTGTAAAGTTTGCTCATTCCATATTTGAGTCGTCCCATCGCTTCCGTTGCCTTCTCCATGTTTCCATCAAAGTGCCATGAAGCAATCTCTTGCATCGTTGCCAGGCCTCGTGAAACCCAGCTCCACATGATCAATTTGCCGCTCTCATAGTTTCTCAATTGGTGAAGAGCCCATGCATCACATTCAAGACTTCCTTCCTGCGAGAGCCTGAGTAAGTGCACTTAGAATATCTAGACATGCAAGCATTGTCCACATGCCTTACTATATACTATATAGCGGATATAAACTGCAGAACAGCACCATCATTATTGAGTTTACGCTTCAAGACTCCAACATACCCCGGGCCAACATACAGCTATATATAAGGCAAGCGTAGAGTTGAAATGATCAACACTGGCAACTCAGCTTCTTACTCAAACCGATAGTTTCCGTCCACTGCAATAGACAATTCCTGCAACGCCGTCCTCAGCCTAGGGTTGTCCCCCATTCCCACCCGCATGCGCATTGCTGCTCTTCTCAGGCCATGATAAAACTGATGAAAGCCATCGTTCGGGCCTCCACAGGCCCCCCATCCTGCTGGCACTGCCACATATTCATGACTGGAGCCATGGATCAAGATGCAATTGTGATCTTGCTGAAACTGTTGTCTGATCTGCTCAAAGGTTAGGCTTCCATGCTGTGGTGCCTTGTCCATGAGAATGAGAGCCCGAGACGATGCTGTCAATCCGTGTTTGGCTCTCTTTCGACGTAGCTCCACGCTCAGGAACTCCAAATACGCTCCAAGGGTCTCAGCAGTCCACATATGGCTAGGTCCGGTGTGGCGTGTAGATATCTGGAGAACATCTTGCAATTTGCGGTTCATGGCATTCACCGTCTTGTCAGACCTTATATACATATATTCAATGGTTCATGGTTGTGTTTCATATTCTATCTGCATCACACACCTTTGAGTTTAAACACTGAACACATGCTTCTATGTGTATATATATATAACTAATCACATCTAATCACATAAACACATTTATATGTGTATATATATATTATATATAAATAACAAACTGAGGGTTTCACATTGACCCTGGCTGAATAGTGATCCAAGCCCTTCCAAGTTCACCATCTCGCCAAGATAGGGTGGTGCATGTTCGTGCGCACCGAGCATAGTCCACTGGATTCATATTCCCACTCGCATTAAGTTGCACTGGTGTGCACACAGTCTTGGTCTGGTCTTCTCCCATGTCAATGCCCAAAGACTTGCGAATCTGACATAGAATTGTCTGTAAAGATCTCTTTCTTGCCATTGGGTCCTGAAGAACACCACGTTGGCTGTCATGCTTGTGTACAACTCGTCGGGGTGGCTCATAGTGGACACTCCATACTTGGTCAAAGTTTGCTATAAGCCGTGGTTCTATTTGATGCATCTCTGCACACGTTGCCACAAAGTCTCTAACCATGGCCATGGACGGGTGGTCATAGTCTAGATGCTTGGATTGCTTGCTGACTGAGGATAGTCGAAGCCCAACGCGGTTGCACAACTTGGTGACTGTATACCTGAAGTGCATATATATACAAATGCAATAATTGATTTGAATGATATGCATGATCTGTTCTCAGCTGCTTGAGTGAGTCTATATTCTATCTGCATTTAAATCAATATTTTTACATAACACTTTATATATATATATATATCTGTGCATGTTGAAAACCCTTATGTACACCCTTATGCATGTTGATAACCCATACAGCACTGCAACATGTGCTAATCCTATGCTAGATCTATTGGGGAAACATGAAAAGAAAACTATGTATATATATATATACATACCAAACAGTGCCAAGATTCGTAACGGCGCTTGGATGCTTGCTGGCATTGCAAGGCTGCAAGATCTTTAGCGGAGTTTGCAGTGGAGTTTCAGTGGCACCGTCGATGTCGCCATTGGCATTCTGGCCAGTGGCCTGCTGCTCCATAGTCTCCACGATGTCTTTGCGAAAGTCACCAATGCACTCATTCCACAAAGAAATCATATCCAGCAATACTTTCTTAACGCAGCTCAAGGTAACCTCCTGGCCAGTAGATAACATCTCCAAAACAAGACCTTCAAGAGCAATTGCCAAAGCATCTGGCACACCGTGAATCCCATCTTCTCGGCTGAATTTGCTTCCTTCATGCTTGCGCACAGAGATGCCTAGTGCTGAGCGGAGATGGTTTGGGACCTCAGCGTGCTTCTTGCACAGTTCTGGCGCCACCCGGATCAGTAAATCCCACTGCTGCTCTTCCCTCTTTTTCTGCCATTTGCTGAAGCATCCTTGGTAGAAGCCAGCTCGCCTGGAAGTCTTGAGCATGTGCTTTTCAGCGTGTGGTATGGCTGGGTCGGCCTTGAACTTCTCAAATTCCTGCATTGCCGGGCTGGTTGGCTTGAGGACAATTGAGTGAGTGGCTATACAGTGTCTAAAAATATATATATATAAATTCTAACTGTGAGTTCTAATTGCTGCCAACTCACTATATATATATATATAGTGTTTTTGCACTATTATAAATGCAAAAAAAAGCTCTATGCAAAGCTAACAAAACACAAAGTGCTTATTTATAACTATATATATACAAAATCAACTGATTGCTGCCAAAGTACTTTAAATAGTTCCATTTTTGCCCAAATACTCATCACGCTTTTCTTGCCCTCTCTCGCAATCTTGGCCTTCGGAACATATGATCTTTTCTTTTTAGGTGCAGAGTCACCCTGCTTTGGCTCTGTGTTTTTCCTCTTGGCATTTCTTTGGCGCAATGTTTCAATCTGTGCTTTGTGGTCATCTACTGGCACGACCTGTTGGTCTCTCAAAGCTGCTGTAGGCTCTGTGACATCTGCAACTGCAATAGCCTTGGTTTTGCCAACAGCCCTTCGCTTGACTGGAAGCTGACTCCAATGTAGTTGGGCATGCGGGGCTTGATCATGATTGTCAAACTTGCGCTTCACTCCATCAGAACGTATGTCATCCGCAGCTGATTTGAGCTTGGCACCAGAGTGTGCATGGCGATCATCGGTGCCGTCACTGTCACAATCAGAAACCAAATCATTTGCTGCATTTGCGTGTGGCAAGGAATCAGACAATTCCAAGCTTTCGTTCAA